TTTTTTCTCCCCTTAGATGTGAGCAAAAGATATTTTCCATCACATAGAGTAAGTTATGCAGGTAAGGCAGTTTTTCACCTAGCTGCACCAGACCCTTCCTAAAAGTAATCAGTTCTGAGGATAAGAGCAGTGGGTTTTTTTGAGCAGCATTGATATCTGGAAGTGCATTTTGTGGAAGAAAATGTTGTCCTACCCTGTCCTACACCAGTATAAGAACTCTTAAATCCAATGCCAGGGATTTCCCTTCTAGGTGGATGAGCAATAAACTGAATTATAAAGGACACCAGGTTGGGGAGGAACTGCATAATACACAGTTGTTTTACTATTTTCTACTATTTAGTAGCAATACATAAACTGGGGAACCTGAGCAATTCAGTACTGCAGCTCTCAACAACCCAAGCCGACATGGCCTCATGAGAGCTGCTGGGGATTGTATCAGCAACATCTGAAGGACCACTGATTTCTACTTTGCACAACTACTGATGTTACTGAGATTAGAGCTAGACCAGGGGTGTCAAACACATATTGTCATGGCGTCATCACATGACGTATCGGGATTTCCCCCCCCCTTTGCTAAACCGGACGTGGGCATGACCAGCACGTGACGCATCCGGCCTTTGACAGCCCCGAGCTAGACTGACAGATTGTCAATACAATGGGGGAATGTGAAAAGTGGGGAAACTGCTTTCACTCTTTTTTAGAGTAGAAGGGAAATGTTTAAGACCAGATTGTAAACATTTTTATTATAGATAATTTTTGTTTCCCTTCCTTGAAAATTTGCTGTGAATTGGACGTATCTATTTATTCACATTTTAAACATAATAAATATGATACTTTTATTTGTTTTTTCTTTTGCCCATTGACTTCAGCTGAACTTGGCTAGAAGAATGAACCTGAATGCCCAAGCATAGACCACTGTAATTAATTGATATTTTTAAAAGGGTGGTTTCAATTATAACTGATATGTAAGAAGATTGGAATGAAAAATTTTAATATTGCTCTTTGCTACAATAATTAACAAGCAAATATATAAAAAATTAATTTTTAAAAAACTTGTTACGCATACTCACAGGAATTCTATTTTTCTTTCTCCTTTTTTCCATACTGGCTTTGGCTCAGCAATTTCTTCAAGACATTTAGTGGATCAAATATTTTACAGAATTACAGCATAATTAAAAAAAAACAACACACCAAATATACATCCATCATAGCTGAGTACTACAATCACTTTCTATGATAAATGTTCTATACTTTAAAAGTAAGAAAACATTACATTCTTTTTTTTCATCTTAATGTGGCTTGCTTTTGAAATAATCATGAAAAATGAACCTTGGCGAATTAAGATATTTGCTACACATGTTATTGATTGATTGGCTTATTGATTATATGACACAAATATCCAAATCAAGCAAAAGTTTTCTTTGTGAATATGTTGAGAGTTTTTTATTTTAGACAATAGGGAATGAAAAATGCTAGAGTTTGCTAGTTATTTAGTTAGTTATTTAGTTAGCTAACTAGTTTAGAGTGTAGAGTAGGATAAGTTTCGATTCAAATCCCTCCCTAGGATTCCAGCCATTTAATGACTTTGGGCTAATCATTAATGTATTTCATAAGCTTGTGATTGTGAAAATTAAACAATGTAACAATCTTTTGTTACTTACAGAAAAATGTAAGTATATTTTCCTAGTGGCTTGGGCGCCATTCTGAATCATCAGGCCAAATGGCTTTTTCTTTTCTTTTTTTGTTTTGCTGGGTTGGGGAAGCTGGACAATTTCAGCAATTCTAGCCATTATGGCCAAAAATAAATAGCTGAGAGTTTAAATTCAGCAGAAAGGAAAGTCATAGATCTTGTATTTCTGCCTTAGAATCAGTCACTGTTTTAATGAGGTGCTAGTTCTAAACACTTGCTTTAGAATAAGAGCACATGGCATTTAGTAGCAGTCTCCCTACAGAACGAAAGAAGTATCTTTTATTTTACCACTACTATAAGAGCAATTCATAAATCTTCAATTTTTTTCCTAAGCAGATGATCAGCTTTCAGTAGCAGCAGTTGAATTACTTTGCAAACATATTTGAAATAAGATTTAAAAAACTATATTTTCAGTAGCAGACGGTCTTGAAACGATAGTTGAACAGACTTGGTATGGGAAACATTACAATATTTCAATGCATCTACAGAAAATACACGAGTTTCTTTTTTTCATCTATAAGATAGCAACTTAAAATGTCCATGTCATGTGATACAACATCAGGACTATAAAGACAGAAAGATATTCATCATTCAATCTGAGAAGCACAAATTTTCATTTTTGAACTTTAGATCTTTAACTCAGAAGTTATGGTAGTTCCCAAGAGTTTTCTTTGAGTAGACATTATGAGGGAAATCATGATTTCATTGAAATTACTGAGCAAACTGCTATTTTTAATCTAAGGCTAACATTTCATTTAGCTTTTATTTTTGACTATTACTCAATTGTCGGAATACAGGCAGAAACTGTATATGGGACATAAATAAACAAATAAATTGGAATAATAAAACAACATCTCCCAAAAAGTATTAGCTAGCATTTGCTCTCCATTCATGGGAATATCTAACTGTGAAAGAAGATAAACAAATAAAGGAGCTTTATGGAACAAAATATAAGTAATTGAAACAGATCATGTGGATTGCCATGCAATTAAGTCAAATCTTATGCAAAAATAAAAGTAATTTTGATTTTCATTAAGAACTAATAAATACTTTGAGACTTAATGACCAGACATTGGCTGCTTTAGAAATGACATTTAGCCCCAGTATATAAATTAATAAAATATGGATCTGAAGATATATAATTTAATAGAAAAAGGAAGTCTTAAGAGGAACTTAAAAAAACATTTTTTTGAAACCAATAATCTCCTGTGCTTAATATTTGGTCCAAAGAGTGAAATATAAATTTGCAATTGTGGAACTGTATTTAGGAGAAGTAAAATTCATGAGCTGTACAGTACATTTTCTCCACTGAAAGCTGTTTTGGTGGCAAATAACAAAAGAAAAATTGTGTTTTAAAAAAGTTTAGGGGAAATTTTGAGCTTTGTTTATCTATACAAAAAAAATCAGCAACAGATGTTTTTCCTCAGTGATTAATGTGCTTTAAAAATCTTCTTTTAACTGGAAAAAAAGTACACGGGTTGGCACTTTGCAAAGCCATGTGTGGGCCTTTAGTATCATGCATTTTTAAAACATAAAAAAGACTTTGGATTGGTCACTCTCAGAAAATAACATTGGTGGAGGGCTGCAAGCCTATGTTTTGTTTGAAAATGTGTCACTTGCCTATTGTCATTAGGGAAAGCTAATAAAGCTAAACTATAATTCTAAAGAGATCTATTGAGCCATAGAAAATATCTTCTCATTTGCATCATGCGGTTTATTATATTATTTGTTAGATTTATATCCATTTGTTTCTCCTAGACTTACACAGGGATCTGTCTTTACTTCATCCCATAAGAGAACACTGCATAGCTGTATGGTGGACTGTTAGAGAAAATGACTGATCTAAGTGAGTTTTGCTAGCTGACGGTACTTCTAGTCCCCCCTTTGAATTCCTACAAGTTCCTAAAATTCCAATTGTGCTCCCTGGCCCTGAGAAATATATAAAGTTGTTGCTTTTTTTTTTTAAAAAAAGTAACACAGTCAAAATGCTGTTTAAACCTACTGAATTTTCTGATTCTAAAATAACTAATGTATTAAATCTTTATTAGCAAAATTAGTTATAGAAATCTGGGGGAAAAAGAAAAAGATTGACTAGAGTGCTTGTGATGGGAGAGATATCATGAAGATGAACAATGGAGGTTTCAAAATATTCCATTTTCTGCATGTTAATTGCTATAATTACATGGAAATGGTGATAATTATGAGTGAACCTATCTGCATTCAGCGTACCTTGTGCAAAATTGAGGCATTCAGACATTTTGCTGAATAAGCACAATTATACAGGTTTTACACATTTTTAAGACCTATACCACAGTATATGGACCACTGTGGCCACAGCATACTCTAAGCTAAACACAAATAATCTGCATTACTTCTTTGCACAGTGTGTGAACCTCAATAATCTCCTCTGAAAGATAAATTTTCTGACTTCTCATACGTGACAATTCTTTCGGTTGATTCATGGAATGATATTGGTACAGCATTCTGAAACCAAATAGTAACTAAATTGGGATGAAAAATGATGTGCAAATGACACACTACTGTTAAAGAAAACAGCAGATATACAATAACAAGAAGTCTACAAATAGTAAGATTTTAACAATAATGCAACATTACTAAAGTAATTTAGTAAAGCAACATTGTTAAAGTCTTACGATAAAATAATCATTTTCATGTCATTTGGCACATTTTATTACCATAAAAATAATTGTATTTCTTGTAATGGATTTGTGTTTGCTTTCAATTTGGCATGTATGACAAAAGTTCAATTTCTGGTCATTAAATCTTGCAGAGTCTTAAGAAGTCCCCCCCCCGCCCTTCCCAAGAAGCTGCAAGTGCATCCATGACATCTATGTAAATAAAAATAATTGAAGCTATGGTTCACTTCACAAAGAAATGAGAAAACACTGCAATTTTCTTAAACAAACAGCGTACATTGGATGGGGATTTAAAGAGAAAACAAGATAAGTAAGATGCTCTAAGAATAAGCTGCAATTCTGCAACATAAGTCTATACAAATCCTCCAGACAGTGGACTTGAAGGAAGTCTCTGCCCCAAGAAACCTGGTTTTTTGTTTTTGTTTTACAAATCCTTGACGACTGGAGATGTTCCAGCAAATCCAACTTATTTACAAAATGTGCATTTTGCAGACTCAAAGCACCTTATTTCACACTATTATTAACATATGAATCAACATTTCATCCTTTCATGTGCAAATTCTGAAATTCAAAAGGAAAAATAAAAGTTAATTAAAATTATCTACAACCATAAATGAAAGTATTAACAGTGTTAAGCATTGCAGAAGATCATCTCTGAAAAGAGCATTTTATTTTACTCAGTTCTTGTTACATTTTTCCTGATTTACCTTTTGTTAGAAAAAAAAAATGTTTAAATTAAATTGTACTTAAACTAAGTAAGTCTTCATGCCATGCAAAAAATATTTTATTTACTTTCGAGGCTTCCCTTTTTTAATTCATAGGCATTGCTAATTCCAGTTTTAAGAAATAGTTTTGTCATTATTGCTGTCCTAATTAGTCACATGCTGGTTTCTCTTGCGGGACAGTAACCAGGATCACTAGGATTTGTATGGATTTCTGGGGGAAACAAATGGTTTTCCATTTTGTGACCTTCTTGATTATTGTCCCCTGTTATTTCCCTTCCAACATGATAAATGTCTTGAGTGCAGTTATGACTCAAATGTTTGGGTGAAGAAGAACTGACTTCAGAGTCCTCTGTTACATAGTTCCCATCCTTAAGTTTATCCCCAAAGCAGTTTGCCTTGATATCCAACTGCCTGTTGTGCCTTATGCCAGGGATTTCCAAGAAGTCATCTTCTTCACCAGTGTCTATTTCAGTAAAACTTCTCTCCTTGGAAGGGAAAGAAAAACGTTTCTGCTTGGGGAACAAAGGGCATACTTGCTTAGAAGCTCCAGAAGAATCTGCACCCAGCACGGGTCTTTCTCCCTGTGGTGAATTCTCTTCTAAGAGGATAGTGCTGATATGCTGAGGGGTATATTGTAGGAAGTCTCCTGTTGCCAACACTGGCAATGGCCTTGTGGTGCTTGGTGGGGTTTGTGGAGCACCGCCTCTGTTTTCCTTAAAATTAACTTTAAGGGACCTTGATTTTAAAGGGTTGCTTCCTCTGAAAGAACTTTTGGGACTCTCCATGGCATTGTCAAAGTGAAAGTGACCATGAAGGAGAGGATGAGGACAACTCTCAGAGCTCATCATTGTATTGACTGAGGAGTAATCAAAGCAAGTATCCCTGGGAGCAAACATTTTATCTTTCATAAATGGTAAAAGCTGGGAATCTTTTGCTGTTTGGTCTTCTAAGTGGGAAAACTCAATGGGAAATCTTAGTTGCAAATGAGAACTGGAATATGGAGGAAGAGGTGACCGTTCTGTCTCTGTGAAATCAGTGGCGCAGCTGGCAAAGCTGTCAATGCTAGAAGTGCTTCTCATATCAGGGATGACTTCTTTGGGTCCTGTTATAGATGCGTCTCCTTGTCCAGTAACCTCTTCCATTTCTATCTCCTCCTCATAGAGGGGAGGTTTCACTGAAGGGCCTTGGTAGGTGGAGTTCAGATTAGGCTGAGACTGAGTTTTAGTAATTTCATTATATAATATTTCAAGTTTCTGAGCACTCAAGTGTTGAGGACTGGAGGTTGCTGCTGTATTGTTTAGCTGTTCATGTGAATCTTGCTGGCTCACTTCCTGGTATTTGTTCTCCAAGGATTTATTAGAACTTGTCTCAGACATTGTCCTTCTGGCCCATTTCCAATGACTTGGAGATAAGTGGTTGTCATCGGGAGTTTCCTTTGAATTGGCTGCTTCCTCAGTTTTATCAGTATCAACAGCTACATCAATCAGTTCCATACTGCGAGCAAAGGCTTCTTTTAAATTCATTGAGATAATACTTCCATTTCTCTTTGCTCGTTCAAGCGCTTCCCTTCTTTTAATGGCTTTCTCCTGCCGCTTTTGCTCCTTGTAGAACTCTGAGAAGTTGTTTACTATGATGGGAATGGGTAGGGCTATTACTAGCACTCCAGCAATGCAACACAATCCACCAACTATTTTACCTAATAAAGTTTTGGGATAAATGTCACCATAACCTACTGTGGTCATAGTGATGGTAGCCCACCAGAACGATGCAGGAATACTTGTAAACTTTGTAGCATCTTCATCTTTTTCAGCAAAAAACACTAGACTGGAAAATATCATAATTCCCATAGCTAAAAATAGTATCAATAAACCCAATTCATTATAACTCCTTCGTAAGGTAAATCCTAAAGATTGAAGTCCAGTTGAATGTCTAGCAAGTTTAAGGATCCGCAGTATCCTCATGATACGGAATATTTGAACTACACGGCGGACATTTTGAAACTGCAGCACACTTTTGTTGGACTCTGTGAGGAAAATGGTGACATAATAGGGCAAAATGGCTAGCAAATCAATGACGTTTAATGGACCTTTGAAGAACTTCCACTTGTTTGGAGATGACAGAAAACGCAAAAGGTACTCCATAGTGAACCATGCTATACACACTGCTTCAACATGTGCTAGCTGAGGATTGTCATTTAGTTGTCCAAATTCATCAATTACTTGAAGCTCAGGTAGAGTGTTGAGTGACAAAGCAATGGTGGATAGTACAATGAACAATATGGATACAATGGCCAAAATCTGTTAAAAAGAAAGATAAATAAGAAAACTGTGGTTAACAAATCACAAAGAATGCTTATATTTTAACCAAAGAAATAACACAATAACAGAATTACAGGCTGTCCCAAAGTTGCTTTTTCAGGAGGCAACTGAACTTTCATGTTTTTTTCTTTTGAAGACGTTTCACTTCTCATCCAAGAAGCTTTGTTATCTCTGACAGGATAGTGGAAAGACCTGTCAGAGCTGAAGAAGCTTCTTGGATGAGAAGCAAAATGTCTTCAAAAGAAAAAACAAGAAAGTTCAGTTGCCTCCTGAAAAAGCACCTTTGGGACAACCATGACCTAGATGACTGAGAATCTCTACAGGCCGCTGTTCTTGACTCACTGCAATTAGATATGCTTTTCTATTGCCAGTACCCCTAACTAATTCATCTGAAGTGCTAGTCCACAATAATAGTTCCACTGAAAACCTAATTTATGCTACAATGCTATCCTAAATAATTCCAAAGGTGTACATATTTGGGAATAAGATCCATTAATACAACTCAAATTATTTCAGAAGCGTAATTAGATTATACAGTTCAGCATTTTTTTCAATCAGCTGCTTTCCAAGAATAGTACATTAGACCATAACTCCCAGCAAGATAAGATATTTTTTCCTATTGTTATCCTAAATTGTGTGCCCAGTAAATGTTTGATGTAACAAAAAAAGCAAATGAAATTTGTTCCTGCTAAATGCATACTGGACACATTTTTTTTGCAAACATTCTAACTAAAGTAACTAACTAACTAAACTAACTATCTTTCAAAAGCAAGTAGAGAGCTAGTTTTGGGAAAGCCTGGAAACTTGTTTTGTGTACTTGGCTACATTGGCCAGAAGTGGAAGTATAAGATTCAAAGAACATCACTTTAATGAAGGCTGGCTATGAGTCATTCTGAATTCTGCATCATTCTAATATAATCTCAGTAGGTATATTAAAAGATATGACCTTTTTAAATACAAAATTGCCACAAACCAAAATAACTATTATTTTAGTGACTTTTTAAGGAATTGCCATCAAATGTTGTAGGCTGCATGCCTAATTTTAAATTTTTTTAACTTAACATGAAAAGTAATCACAAAAATGTAAGGTGCAAAGTTCAGTATTAATGCTGAAAAGAAAAACACAGAGATATTTGATTGAGCTGTCCACAATTGTAGTGCTGAATATTCCCCATGGGCTTAATGTTAGTACTTAGTGGTACTTACAATTTAGCAGTTACGGTATATGATTTTACAAAGTTATGTTTGTTATAACTTCATTATTATGTATTATTATTATATCATTATTATATATATATGTAAAGAAAGAAGCAGACATTCTGCGAGCTCAGAAACTTAAAATTTTAAAATATTTTTTAAAAAAACTTGATAAAATTGTGCTAAATTAGACTTATTATTTATTTATTTCAGGCGAGGCTATCCCATCCACATCAACATTGTATCTTCTAGAGAGTTGCCAGTGTCTCTCAGCCCAATAAAGCAGAGGGCAAACTATGTATGCTCCTTTGATCTCCTCTACAAAATGGGAATATATTTCTAATCAATTAATGTATAAATAGACAAATCTTATAGAACCCTTTAAAACAGATTAATTACGTGATAAAAACTTCAAGGTCACCTAACCTTCATCACAGTTCAGTAAGTACTGAAACTTTTGCAGATCTGAGAAGGCATTGTGAATTAATAGAAGGAAACACACACACACACACATGCGCACACACACACACATGATTTTATGGAAATTTAGGAATAATTATTCTAAGTAACTTATTGAGTATGGTGCAAAATAGCCATAGTCTGTAAAATAATGATTGTATAGTCAAACATCTGCATCAACACATATTTTAAAAAATATGTTAAAAATTAAAAACTTACTGCATCCTATCCATTAAAAACACTGGCTTTCAAGTATTATTAATTGGGCCTTATTTTTACCACTTGAATCAGAGAATATGCATGCTTCTAGTTTTACATTTCCAATGTAGTTGAAGGCATCGTAAGCCAAAGTTCTTTTTTAAATCTCTAACTATTGTAAGTTTGACAAAAGCATAATAATATAACATGAACACAAAAGTGGAACTTCTCCAAATAACAATAGGTATCATTATCTGTCAGCAGGTTTTCTTGTTCAACGACATATTGAATATACAATGCTTTAAACTATCATTATTTTTCAGATTTGTCCTTGGCTGATTCCTTAGTTGCCTGGCAATACTAAGGCTGATTTCAAAGCTTCATTCCACTGTAAAAAGCCTCAATTCTATGCACATATACAGAAGAATGAAGACAATATGATTCATTCAAAGGTAGGATTGAATAGATTGAATATCTGTATCGGGGTGGGTTTCAAAACCTGTCACTACCAGTTCGCTTGTGGGCCCGCGCATGCAATGCTTCTGCACATGTGATGCTTCTGCGCATGCGCAGAAGCGTCCAGGAGGGTGGGCGGAGCTCCCGCCGCTGACACTGCTACTGATTCACCTGATCTGGGGTGAACTGGTAGCAACCCACCACTGATCTGTATATTTGCAGTGGTAAACATAAATAATTAGTTTCTAAAACTATTGGAACCATGGAAAATGCTCTAGAACAGTTGTGGGAAAAATCTTGTTGCATGCAATGAAGTTCTTGTTAGCAAATGTGCCATGTGGTTTAAGTCTGGAATACAAAATATATGAAAACGACTCAATTACACATAGAAAACTAATATATTAGAACCAGTATTGCCATTTTCATGTTGCACTTTTTGAAAATAATGGAATCTTCTTCCAATATTGTTTGTTACCATACAAAAATGATCTTGCACAAAAATTCTTAGTAGAATTCTTGTGAATTATTTTCAAGGAAGTTTTTCCCATTTTCACCAGAAGATGTCTCTACTATACCATCCTGGAATTCATGACAGCAGCTGCCCTTGGAAAGATAACAATTATAATAATGCATCTCTTTCTCTCTTCTCCCTACGAAAAAATGTTTTTCCTTAAAAAAAAAGGCCTTTCTATCAATACTTATATCCTTGCCTTTGCTCAAAAGATTATTTGTTGAATTCTGTGCCAGAGTCCCACATCTCTAATAACTTCAAAATACTTTATTTCAGAAACATCTCTTACAGTCTCCTATCCCCTGTAAATCTAAATATTCTATGACTAATTGTAGATGACACTGAGCTGCCAGGAATAGCCAACACTCCAGAAGACAAGCTCAGGATCCAAACAGATCTTAACAGACTTGAACAATGGGCCGTATCCGACAGCATTACATTTAATGTGGAGAAAAGCAAAGTTTTACACGCAGGCAGGAAAAACCAAAGATACAAGTACAGATTAGACAAAACCTGGCTCAAAAACAGTAACTGTGAGAGGGACCTTGGAGTTCTAGTGGAAGATCACTTAAGCATAAACCAGCAGTGTGCGGCGGCAGCCAAAACAGCTAATATAATTCTTGGTTGAATAAACAAGAAGCATGGAATCAAAATCATGTGAAGTATTAGTTCCACTTTATTAATCCTAAGTAAGACCACATCTGGAATCCTGCATCCGGTTTGGTCACCACATTACAAAAAAGATGTTGAGACTTTGGAAAAAGTTCAAAAAAGAGCAACTAAGATGATCAAGGGCCTATCTGAAATGGTACATGATCTCCTGCTTTTTTTTTTTTTTTTTAAATTGATTTATATGCCGCCCTTCTCCGGAGACTCAGGGCGGCTTACAATGCTTTTAAGAAATACATGTAGCCTTCATACTTTTGTATATTTATACAAAGTCAGCTTATTGTCCCCATAATCTGGGTCCTCATTTTACCTACCTTAGAAAGGATGGAAGGCTGAATCAACCTTGAGCCTGGTGAGATTTGAACTTGCAGTAATTGCAGGCAGCAGATGTAAATGGATGTTAATAACAGTGCTTTAGTCTGCTCAGCCACCAGAGCTCACTTCAGCAGAGGGTTGGACTAGAAAACCTCCAAGAATCCCTTCCAGCTTTATTCTGATTGAAGTGGCTACATAGGAAAATGTAATAATGCACACTATAATCTCATGTTTGAAAATAATATGTATTAGCATAAGTCTCATTTTCTGAAGACTTTGGGAAGTTGCCTATTTACCATCTTAAAAGTATTAGGTATTATTTGGGATGATAAGTTTGAAAAGTTGCCTAGTGAATTTTGGTAGTTTCAACTCTGGACAAAAGTAATGTTAATTGCAAGCTTAAGCACTTAACGAACATTAAATAAACAACAAAAACTAAATAATTTTTATCTAATAAAGTTACAAATGGATTCAGAGTCCAGTTAAATTTGGAATATTGTCTTTTACTATGAGATTTTGGAATTAATATTAAAAAAATAGCTTCTTGTGATATTATTAGAATTATTTTGGCTATCTTGGCTCATAACAAAGATAAGCATATTTATGATTTTAGAAACTGGACACTAGATGGAACTAAAGAATCTAAGTAGAAGGGAAAATAATAGAAGCTTCTTTTTAGTGTCAGTTATTGTATAATTGTATAAGGAGCTTACAAAATGACATATAATGTGGAAGTATTAAAGGATATCTTTTGAGGATGGAGCCAGAAATTGATAACTATCATTATCAACAGTGTCAGTAATGATGTCTGATTCTATGGATAGATTACATCCAAAAGATGCTAATGAGGAAATGACAGATGAAAAGCAAATTTTGTTTGACATGAGAAAAATAGTTTCTCAAGTAGAATCACAAATGACAGGGCAAGAGAATGATTTGGAAAAGGACACTTTATTGGATATTCTGGCTGAAGTTTTAAAAATTAAAAGGGAAATACAAATGGCAAACCTGGAATGACTCTGAAAATATTGTCTATTGGATCTATAAAAGAGGCTTGTTAAACACTTGAAGAATTGTGCAGAAGAGAGAAATTAGATACTACAACAATATTTGAATAAGATAAATATTGCGACTGTTTGAAGTAAAGGAAGGAGTATAAAGTTAGTTTATTTGA